TTGTTGTTGCTGCTGTCGTTGTTGTTGTTGTTGTTATTGTTTTATTGATGTTGTGGCAATAAAGATGATAAAGAAACAAAAACGAGAGGGCACCGAAGTTGATGAGAATGAAAAAGGAGTTGAAGGAGGAGGGGAGGTGGATATAGTACACACACACACACACACACACACACACACACACACACAAACAAACACACTCACGCACACACCCACACACACACGCACACACACACACACATACACAACCACACACAATCACAATCACACACACACATGCACACACACAAATACACACACACACAAACACACTCACGCACACACACACACACACACACGCACACACACGCACACACACATATACACATACACAACCACACACAATCACAATCACACACACAGGTACACACACAAATACACACACACACACACACACACACACACACACACACAACCACAGGCACACACAAATAGTGGTGCATTTGTTAATGTAATTGATTGTGGAATTGCCCACCCCACCCCTACCCCAATGAAAGCCTTCACTTTGGACAAGCTCATTTAAATCACTCATTAAGATAACTGTATAAAAAAAATAGCGAAAATTAACAGCATCTTTTAAACCAACAAGGTGCTGCCTAGACCATAATAATATGGAGAAAAAAACAATATGAACAAAAGTGAACTAAACGCCTGTTGTATGAGATGTCTAAGAACAACTTTGAGCATCACAAGAAGAGACAGGGTGAGAAATGAGAACAAGCTGTCTCGACTCCCTGCATGGTTTGGACATCTGTGGAGACTGACAGCAGACAGTAAAGGTCAGTTTAACGTCATCAGCAGACAAAAAGAACGTTCTTTTATCGTCTATAACACTTAAAACAATGGGTGAAAGGGCATTAATTTGAATACCAAGGCCCCAAGATCTGGAATGCTTTGCCAAGTACTTTAAGGGAGATCAAATCTTTTGGTTAATTCAAATTTCTGCTGAAGTCATTTCTGTCTTTAAATTAATAGGATGAATATAATTGAGCGATTTTCTTTTAGTCAGAACATAACGTTTTATGTTACTGTTGTACGTTGTACTGTATTGTAAAGCGCTCATAGCTGTGTACTTTATTCGGGGTTGAGCGCTATAGAAATGTGATTTATTATTACATTATGATTATGGCAGCGAAAGCATACAACCAGAGATCAGATGGAAACAGAGGAATAGGCAGGCCCAGGAAAAGATGGAGAGAAAGGGTGAGAGAAACATTAGACAAAAACAATAATAATTATAATCATACAAGGGGAGATACAAGAAACAAGAGAAAGACGTTAGCTTCTCTGCTACACACCGTGCGTAAGGCAGCAGAGGCCGGGAACTGTAACAGAAAGTAACGATGAAGTCTAGTAAGTACCTGACACAGACCTAGTTCTGTGAGGTGAAGGTACCCACCTCAGTGGACAGACAGCTAATACGGTAAAACTCTCATAGTGTTTATTATTATTTATAAATATTTATTGATATTTATTGTAAGGCTACCGGACTCGTAATAGTGAGGTTGCAGGTTCGGGGGCTCGAGCCGCGGACCCGACGTTGTGTCCTTGGGAAAGGCACTTTACACGGATTTTCCTCACTTCACCCAGGTGGGAATGGGTACCCGGCTATAGACAGCGAAAGATCTTGTCAGGGCGTTCTTGATCTCAGGTCGTTTTGTGGGGTACTCAAGACGTAGTCAAACTACGGTCCGTGAGCAGTCACACACATTTGGCCCGCGAGTCGACTCAGTAATTTATCGTGACTTTGAGCTGATAATCAATAAAACCAAACCGTCCGTCTTTAAAATCAAAATCAATTTGTTTCAAGTCCAGATGGAAGCAATATATAATACATCTAGTATAATACAGGGTGATGTTTTTACAAAAACTACTTTTTTCTGAATATCTCGCACAAAATTTGTACTAAAAAGTTGTAATTTGGAACAGAAGGAATTCGTTTGACATAAAATTCTCAAAGAAGAGACTTATTTCCGAAAACGGAAATGGCTTTCATAAAAAAACACATATGAATGTAAAATGCACCAATTTAAAAGATATTGTAAAGAAAGTCATTAAATAATTGGGCTTTTTTTACTTTCCTTTTATTTTTAAATTCTAATCTTTCCATTCCTGTACCTTTTATAAAATATTTCTTTTCTCCTACAGAGTTTTAAAATAATATTTTTACATTCTGGAACTCCGTGAACCAATGGTCTATATGTCCTCCTTTGGACTTGACACATTTGAGCACGTCAAACACAAGGATCCACTCAACCATGAGTACTCCAAGCCACACACACTGTACACACACACACACACACACACACACACACACACACACACACACACACACACACACACACACACACACACACACACACACACACGCACACTGTACACCTTACAGTAGAGAGCTGTTTCTGGAGACAATGGGGAGGGCGGTGAGGTTGATCAATTAGACAGCTTTTGTGAGGTTGATATAACCTGAAAGGTGAATATGGGTTTGGCCAAGAAACCAAATATCATAAAGAAAATGTTCACGCTTTTCAAGACGATCTAGGCATCATGAACACATTGTTATCCTCTGATAGCTTCGCGAACGGGAAAATGGTACAGTCGTAGCTGAAGATCTGCCTTGAGAATGTGGACTGTTGAGATGTAGGAAAGTCATTGCTGCAGACATGGTCTACGGACAGACGTCTCATGGGGCTCATCTACTGAATGCTGCACCCTGGTGACGTTTAAAGGGGTGCAAACGGTATGTGTTTGACCTGAAATGGTCGTTATGTGTGGGAATTTTTAGTTCTGATTCTCTACAGGTCCTGACTGGTGGACCGTTTCCACACTTGACATCAAAGAAGTCCTTAAGGACACTTTAACATTATTTCCCTACCTTGTGCGAAACTTACCAAATGAGTTGGTGGTGAGGAAATGATCAATACAAAAAGCTCTCTGCTCTTTATTAATCTTAACCATAATCTTAGAAGGCAAAGGAAACTTGAGAAAAACTATCTGCAAACTTCTGTTGGCCTGTTAGTCTCCAGCTAAAATGGGAAAAGTTTGTATGTCTAAAGTGCTTTTCGTAAGGACATAACGTCGAGCTGAGGCTCGAACCCCCGAACCCTCAATCTGACGATTACGCGTCCAGTAGCCTAAACAATAAACCACCAACGCGCTTCTATAGGATGGTTCCTTAAAAAATCGAACGAAATTTCACATGGCCGATTAATGTAAGGTCGCTTTTAAGCACGAGGAGGCTATCCCGAAAAATGCTGTTTTGAGAAAATAACAGATAAAGTTTTGAGACCCTTGTTCAATTGCTTTAAAAGACAAGGAGAGCTTTCTCTATAACCAAACAAACATACTCACCAATGAAACCAAACTTTTCCTATAGGTAGGGCAAGCCCACTTCTGATGTAGGTCAAGATTTCTGGTAACCCCCGAAATCTTGGATAGCCCCTTGTCCTTAAAAGCGACCGTATATTTTTGAATGTGCACTCTTGCTGGGGATTAACACGCTCCCCACGAGATAGAGAAAGGCCAAACATTTGATATGATCATACACGTATTGCACTGTTTGCTTTTGTCATTTCTGTAGTGGGGAAAGAAACGATCTCAAAGATTTATTGTTGCGTAAGTTTTTATAGATTCCCGGATCCTTCTTTCCAAACTGTGATCTGAAATGTTTAACCTCTTCTCCGCTGTGTGGCCTTATTGTGTACTCTTTTGTTCTCTGTCTCTTGTTCGCTGTCACTTTGTCTACTGGTCAAAACAAGATAATGATATTTGTGAAGATGTATTCATTGCTTTTCTGGACAATCGTAAATGGAGACGCCTCGGCTAGCACTGAAAGGGTTACAGTTCAACAGGTTGAAATGTTTGCACAAGACGTTATGACAGAACAGTGAGACATTCTCAAACGCGACTCTCCTTACCTGTCTTGACCGAGATCAGTGGAGTGGAACGCTATCCTGTTTTCTGATGCATTGGCTAAAAATTTGTGAAACTAAGGATTAGAAAATCCAAACTAAGAGTGCAACAATTTTTTCTCCAGTTAGAAAGCAGGACGTGGATGGTTTGTTTTTGTATGCAAAGGATGCAGGTTCAAATCACTTTTGTGGAAGGTATAGAGGAGAGAGGAGGGAGGAGAGAGGAGAAAGGGGAGAGGAGAGAGGAGAGAGGAGAGAGAGGAGAG